TTTTTTACAAGTGACAGCGAGTCGATTTTAGTACGATGATATTAATATTTATGCGAGAATAAAAATGAATCTGGACTCGGCTTTTTCTCCCTCGCAAATGCCGCTCGCGCTTATAAAGCCCGACTTTGGCGATGCTCGGCTAGCGTATTTTCCCTCTAAAATCACGCCCTTGTACTCCTAACTTTTTTTTTCTTTTATTTTTTCTAGCTTCCCTTTTCAAATGCTTCTTTTTTCCCCTATATTTTCTCACAATGAAAAAATATGACGTTTTCTGTTTTGTACATACACTTAATACACGTCTCTTAAGGATAAACATTTTCTCGTGCACCTACGCACGTGATATATATATATTTATATAAATTTATAATCATACATCGGCAGCTCGCCTGGCAGTATATATACTTAAGTCACACACGCAAAGTCTGGCAGAACTACGTAATTGGTCACAGCGCGTTTCGCCTCATTTTTTCAATGCGCTTACGAATCAAAAGTTTTGCTATGAGTGTATCTGTAAGTATATTATTTATATTCATCTACAAATGAGTCGATCGTTTATTGCTACCAGATTTTTTTTTTTTTTTCTCAGTTCGACTGCAAAATTAAAAAGGCTCGCCAGGATACAGCCTTCAAAATTCACATTTTAATGAACATACTTGGAGTTAGAATGATAATAGTTGAAAAAAAAAGCAGCATCGAGATGTGTTTACATGCACGCTGTATAACTATATTCAGAGCGTACGTTACAATCGCATGGATCGTTTGCTACTTTGTCCCCGCATTCTTCAGCTTTTCTACTGTAAACGTGCTTGTGACTTTTATGGGTGATTTTTATGATGGTACCGTTTGAAAAAACGCGTGTACGTGAGTGGTCCGAGGCGAGGGTAACAATTAACACACCCTCTTTTTTTCTCCAAGATGCCAAGGACCATTTTACTTCGGTGAAGCGTGATTTTGCTTTTTTTTATTTACTCTACGATGCTTTTGCGCTATACGAGCTCTGGAAATGAGTGAGATCACATCGAAGTGGTACAAAAATAATAAATTCAATAACGTTAGTTTAACTATTTTACCATCACGATGTCGTATCGTTACTATACACATGTATAATTATTTCTGTTGCAGTGCGCGTCTCTTCGGCCATTAGATGAATATCAAGTGACAAAGGTGGGTAATGATGAAAAAAAGTTCCAAGAGCTACTGTTTTTAGTACTGGCTCATTACTATTGTTTTTAATTCACCATAAAGATTCAAATTTCTGACTTTGAGTAGTTTTTTTTTTTAATTTCATCAATGGAACTCGTTAATTGCCAGTTTGGATGTGTATGAATTCCGAACTGAGTCGAGTTCTCGGCGAAAAATAATCTCGTTGAATAATATAATAACGGTGAATAAGTGCATGTGTCGTTTGAAGGTTAGAGAAATAAAAAGTGTCTCAGTACGTTTTTTTATAGTTGATAATAGCCCTGGACTTTATTTGATCAAAAAATGCATTATATAACAACGCTTAATTGACTTGATGTCTTTTTTTTTTTTTTTATTATTATTATTTATTACACTTACATCGACAATAAATCTAGATAACAATTTCATTTTTTTTATTCTCACAATTGCCGTGTTCTTAATGTACACGTAATATAATAATTATATAACAACAAAGTGGCCGACGAATATCAATCATCTGGCGAAGAGTCGCGACTCCCGGACTTTTGCGCGTGTAGTCTCGTCGAGCGAAAATACAAGTATATTTCATCAACACGAATCATCACGAGCTTTTTTGTTTTGTTCCCCGTGACGTTCAAGTTGGAGTTGCGGAAGTTGAATTGAAACAAATTTCCTCAAAAAAAAGGAGAAATTGTGAGATTCGCTTAGTGGATTATAAAAAAGTGATGACAATAGTAATGATAATGATAATTATAACTGATAAAAATAAAGAACAACATACATGAAATCGGCGACGCGCGAAGAAGTACAATCTATCATTTCCTGTACAATGTGCCGTATATCTCGGACTGAAATCGACTTTTGCACGCACTCCTCGCAGGAGAGTACAATTGGCGATCGCTAATGATGAAAAAAAAAAAAAAAAAAAAAAATGCTTACCAACTAATATTTACACTCGGCCAATCGATACGACACGCGTGAGAAAGCAAAGGTTTTTCGCAGGTGGGACAGACTCGCCGATTTCAGCGCGAAATTCACACTCGAGAGGAGAGTACAATCTGCATCCGTCGCTAACTCGCTCACGCATCTCAGTCCAGTATACTTTGCTTGTCCCCAGATACAATAATATATATATATATATATTTATAATATTCATATATGCTCGCTCGTACACATAGATTTCTCCTCCTACGCGCACATAAAGGCTATTGTTACTCTTCACGATATATCAATCACACACACACACACGTCACATCGATAAATATAAATCTTGGATCACAATTACACACACGCTTGCAATACTTTCCCGCTCGTCTTACAGCTTAGCTTGTACATCGCACGCAATACAATGATAATAACGACAATGTGGCGTTCGCACGCGCAAGTGTGTACACATATAAAAGTATAAAATAAGGATCGAGGACACGTCCGGCCGAGGATTCGCTTTACTGTTTAAGAAAGAAAAAAAAAAAAACAACGGAAGCTGAGTCATTTGCAGTGTCTTGGGGAGGTTCCTTTTGCAGAATCGAATACTGGCAGAGGCAGACCGTCGTGGGGACGTTGGCTAAAATTAAGTGTGCGTCCTCGCCACTTTGAAAATTCTCAAAGCGAATTATTGATGGAAACGCAGCAAGGACGCACGCGATAAATAAGAATTTCCGTACGACGTTCCGTTAGAGCCAGTAGTCCTTGTCGTCGATTCTGCAAGGACCTCGTGGGTATATGTAATGAAATTAAAAAAGCCCGCAATGTAACGAGACGAGGGTGCGAGTCGTTGCCTCGATTCAAAAGCGGAAACTCAAGGAGTAGTCGAGTTGGTAAAGCGTATCCTGCCGACCGGGCCCTCGATCTTTCGTCCTTGAATAGCTCTGGTTTTCAAATTTTTTTGTTTTTTTGTTTTTCAGCAAACAATGATGAACGTAATATTATCAGTAATAATAGTACAGTAACGATGAATAATCAAAAAAATAATCGTTAATGAAGAAAGACGTGCCTTACACTTAAATACGCTTTAATTAAGTATCGACGCTGCCGCGCGGCAGTCTCTTATTCGTAATCTGGATGCTGTTAGGTACTTAAATACTTTATATGTATGTATATATATATTTTTTTTTTCCTTTGTTCGTTCATCACCTTAGAAAAAAGTAGTCGATCACGTGCTCACAGTATACAACATGTACATTTACACACTTACGTAAGTAATAATATTTAAACCTAATATTTTCATATTTTCGAGAGCTCGTGCGCGAGCTCGATAATTTATGTATATATAATATATCTGTCTTTTTTATCCGCTTCGTTTTTGTATACATATAAAAAAAAAAAAAAAAAAAAAGTATTCTCCGAAACTTTGAGATTCAGAGTCAATGGCCTCATTTCGTTTTTCTTCTTTTTTCATTAGTGCTGCCTTGCGCTTCGTCTACGTCGGTTGCGAGAGGTAGAGCAAAAAAAAATTTATCCATACATTATGCGTTTTTCCTTTCGTTCTCATCTTCTTCATTAATTACAATATAATACACGTGTTTGTTATTAACCATTTTGAGTAAAAACAAGAAAATAAACTAAAAGTTCACGATTGATCTCGCAAACGAGAAAAGACACGTACAAAGTACGTCAGTGGGTGTGTATTTGAGTTTGAGAAAATTTATCGAGCACGAAAAATCGCAAAGGTCACGGTTATAATTACAGGCACACGCTCAGCATCGGATGTCCGTGGGTCAGGTCACCGCACGAGCTCAGGTGGCTCGTCACTCCCCTAATGTGATACATAAAAAAAGAGCACTCGTAGTTGTCGCGTGTAAAAACCGCGACGACTTACTTGACGCCGATGCGCTTGTTGTGTGTATATCTGTAGTCTCGGGCTCTGCCGAAAAAATCCAAGCTCTTTATAAGAACATTTAAAGCATTTTTATAGCTGTCTTTTTGTTTCGTGGTTTTTTTATTTTTTCTTTGTTTTTTTTTTTTATTTTTTTTTTTTCCTACAAAAATAAATTATCGGATTTGTCTATAAAAAGTTTGGTCTTTTCGACGAGATGGTCGCACCGGGAATTGCAGCTCATCGCTTTGAAGCCCAGGCCATTCACACTTTTTATCTTCCCCCCCTAAAAATAACTAAAAATTATAAAGTACTAGTACAGGTACGCGTTTTCATCGAAAATTGCACACCAGATGCATTCGAAGGATCAAAAATAAAATACCCCCTTCCGAGCAAAAAAAAAAAAAAAAAAAAAAAAAAAAAATCCTCCCTCTTCCGTGGGGCCGGCCCCCCCCCCCAGGAAAAAAAAAAAAAAAAAAAAAAAAAAAAAAAAAAAAAACACCGAGAGTGCAAAAGGCCGTCAGCTTCAAAGCGCAAGCTTATAATCCAGGTAAAAAGGCAGCCGCTTCCATCCCGCCCCCACCCCGCAAAGTACATTACGTATACGCAGCCCCTATCATTAAAATGGTCCACTGCTACATCAACTCTCGCCCGCCACCGACTGACCGGACCGGCCTCACAACTGCTCGGACAGTATGATCACGTGGACGGCCTGTATGTTGTCGTTGTGGCCCACCTTGGCGGCGGAAGTAGCCCCCTTCTGTGACCTCGACTCGGCCTCGATGACCGTGTGCTCGCACCCCTCGGCCTCCGCTCGCTCACCCTCGGGCACCTCGACGCTCGGCGAAGCCCCCGCTGCCGTGGTCACCGACGCGTCGGCCCCGCTCGAGAGGCTGCTGTTGTGCGCCTCGATGACGTCGGGTATGCGGTGCGAGAGGCTGCGGGGGCTCGGCCTACTCCTCGCGGGCACTGCCTCCCGGATCTCGTCGAGACTCTCGTCCGCGAACTTGACCCTCGGGCCGCTCCTGGCGGACGAAGGGGCCGGCGGGGGCGGCGGACAGCTCGACTCTACGCTCTCGGGGTGCATGGACGTGCCGCTGGTGATGTTGTTGGACGTAGAGCTGGCTGCGAAGGCGCGTCGCCGGAGGAGCGCCGCCTCGAGGAGGCCGTTGGTCTCGGCGCCGAGGAGGTGGTGCTGGCGCTCGACCATGGACCTGGTGGTGGCCGCGGCGGCGAGTAGCTCGTCCGAGGCGAGGCCGGTGCGGTGGCACTGGTGCTCCTCAGGGACCGCCTCGAGCAGTCCCGAGCGGTCTAGCCGCCTGGACAGGGTAGCGGAGGAAGCTGGCGGTGTCGTTGGGTGGCTTCGGGCTCCGATGGGCTCGACGTCCACGATCTCGAGGAGACCGGATTTGTCGACGCGTCGGACAGCGCTGGTGGTGGGGGCACCGGCTGGAGCCTCGATGACAACGGGGGTCCGGGGGGTGGTGGTGGTGGACGTTGAGGCACCAGCGCCCCGGGGTAGGGTGGCGTAGTAAAAGGCGGTGTTAGTGCCGATGTGGGGCTGGGCGGCGACGGGGGAACGCAGGTACGTGGGCCCGGGACTGGTGCTCGAGGGTCTGTAGGGGTCGCTCTCGATGACGATTTCCATCGGTGGTTGCTGCTGCTGGTGGTAGTGGGGGGCCTGCTGCTAGAGCCACGTGGTGCGCGATTTTCCGGCTCGCGAGCCGGTGGGCTGGTCTCAGACAATTATCTCGCGGATGATGCGCCGACCCCGGCTGTTGGGGGTCGAGTAGCCAGACTCCAGCGACTCGTCGTACGCTAGGCTCACCTGTTGCGGTGGCTTCGCGTCCTCGTCGTAGTTTTCTTGGTACGGGAGACCCGACACGTCGTACGGCGAATCTGGAAATTACAAAATTGACCATTAACATACGTGTCGCATGAGTTACCGAGCGAGATTTTGGATTTTTGTAGCCCAATGTAATTGTTTATCACGGTATCGAGTTGGTGAAAAAAAAAAAAAAATAAAAAAAAATTTCACGGCACGCGTTAGTACGTGCGAGCACGTTCATTCGATTTGTCGAGAGAAAGAGAGTACGCGCACGCGATCCTTTGTGTGCATGTTTTCGCTCGTGCGTAGGTATATCGGCTAGTAAGCGAATTGGCCAGAGTATTTGTTTTGGGGGGTTGAATTTTAAAGTGATTTCAAACGACCACCGACGACAACCTCGCGCCGAGGCTACTTTACCAAACTCTCAATCAGCTTAATGGGCAAACACGGCTCTGCAATTAAACACGATTACGTCGGTACGGGTGATCCCCCAACTTTAATGAAATCCGTCATTTGGTCTCCTGCAGCAACTATACCCAAGTCTCGAGTATGTCATACTTTGAAACGTTGCGGTATTTGGTTGGATAACTGTGTAGTTGCGTGATTCAGTTAAAAAAAGAAGAAGAAAAAAACTGTGCGCGAGTCTCTGTCGATAATCCCGGCGTTTAAAATCACGTCAGCGCAGCGAGCCCGGATTCTTCTCGGCACGATTGACTTTCCAACGAAGCCGTGTCTCTGAGTATTTTTTTTTTCCCCCCCTCGTTCCTCCGCTCCTGCTACACGGAGAGCAGCTCTTAATCAAGTCCAGAAGAGAAGGAGGAGCCAGTGCAGCGCTGATTTTCCGGAGAGGCACGCCTGCCTCTTTGTTGGCTTTTTTTTTTTTTTTCTTCATTGTTCCCGCGTACGTCTCTCTAACTGCAGCCACCCCTTCTCTCCCGGCTAAGTACCATTACCGTCCACTTTTCAAGAAAAAAGAGAGGAAAAAAACAAAAAAAAAACGAAACTACCCCCGAGGGAAAATAAACTGGTCGCCTACAGCTATAAGGGCAATGTAAGGAAAAAAAGAAAAAAATAATGGCAAATACTGACCGACGTGCTTTTGCGTCTTGACGACGGGGGCGAAGGGCTCGCAGAACTGCTGCCTGCTCAAGTTGTGGCTCTCCCTGTAGTCGTCGCGCTGCGGCAGGTAGTGCGGATGGGTCGGGTAGTCGGACTCGGTGGTGCCGTACCCGCCCATGTCGTACGGGGTGCCGATCATACCGACGTTGGGCCCGTTGACGCCCACGCCGTTGGCCACAGCCGCCGACTTCATCTGCCAAATCGAGTCCTGCGAGTTCACCGATCCGCCGTTGTTCGAGTTCGAGTAGCTGTTCTCCATGTAGCCCATGTTCACGCCTTGGTAACCAAAAAATAATGCGTGGTTTCATCACTCGTGCACAGCACCGATCGAACCGCGGACGAGTGCATTTTTTTTTTTCAACTTCCAAGATCCTTCCCGGCCCCCGGGAAGCAACCGAGTGAGAGCAAAAAAATAGTTCTCGAGGAACAATTTTTCGATAATTACTCGGGTTCCCGGGGATTTTTTGCACCCCGAGGCGGCTTTTATATTCACGCGTCTTCTCCCTCGCTTGCACCCGATGCAAGTTTTTCCATCCGACGTAAAACTTCTCCGGCCTTTTTTATTCATCGGTGCAGCTTAGAGATGGAGAGCCGGTACTACGGAGTTTTGATTGATGTTGCCCGTCGATCGCGGCTCTAATGTACACACGCGTGCGTTTCAGCCCGAATATTGTCTCGTTCGACTCGAAACTGATCCGCGACGATTTATTATTCGCGATCACCCAGGTACATGGGTGTATATATATATATTATAACGTATCTATCGGAGTACACTTGTAATTTAAAGGACGTCTTGGAGCTTGAAAAGCTTTTTTGCATCGGACACAAGGTACCACACTGGGAAAGGTACAGGATGCGTAATATAACCAACACCAAAAATTAGTGGGGGGAGGGGGTAAAATGGAACACACAGACACACACAACTGTACCACATCACATGTAGTATAATTAGTAAAACCCAAAATCCTGCATTACCATTGTTCTCACCGTTCATGTTGTGGTTCGGCTGGTGGTAGCCGTAACCCGATTGCCCGTAGGCCGGCGTCTTCGAGTCCTCGAGGGCCAGAGCGTGATCCAGACTGTGCTCCAGGGCCTTGTTCTCGGCGTAGTAGGGCGGCGGCGCCTGGGTCTGCTGGCCGTTCGCCGTTACCAGGCTCGGTCGGACACTGCGTTTCGCATGCAACGGAAGACACACAAGTTATATCGTATACGTTGGTCATCGATGAGTTACCGTACGTTTCCTACTCGGCTGGAAATTACGCTCTCTCGGCGAGATGCGAGTGAGTCAAGCTTCTTTTTTTTTTTCCCCAGCAAAACATCATGCGTACACGAAGAGACTCGCCGATATAATGAGTAACGCCGATGTTTCCGGCGGACGCGTTGCGTCATGTAAACGATGGTTGGTACTCTTGGCGAGCCAAATAACGATTGAATTAACGGCATTCCGTAGTCGCGCGAGATACGCTAATCCCGTTAAAAGTCGAAGAATGGAGGAAAGCTCGTGTAAACTGTAGGGCGAAAAAAGGTCGCGACGGAAGGAAACGCTGGAGTGGAGGGAGCGCGTTGTATATACGCAAAACGTATACACCGAAGAGTCATTGGACTCATTGGCCGGTCTCTCTCCTCCAACTGCGAAAATATATGTACAAAGTAGATACTGGGTTTTTGTTATCGCAGCGAAATCGCGAAAATTTGCCAACTGGGACAGCGAACGAAACTTAACGGAGCAAAGATACTTGACCGTAGTTTGGGGACTCCTATGTTTTATTTTATCTATAATGTAAAAATAATCCATACATCCCAAAGTGTAAAAGCAGCAAGGGACGAGATGCCGAAAGCACCTGCACACCTCTAATCACTGTAACGCCGCGTCTCAACGGAGTATATTTGTGCATCAGCCGAGCTGCAGAAATACATTCAGACGAGAAAGAAGCCACGGGCAGAGACCCCGAATCACCGAGTTAGGTATTTCGCTCCCGGGCCTGGCGCCCAAACTGTTTGCTCGGTATATATTTATACAGCGCGGATTCTTTGCCAAACCGATCCTCGGAGCGCGCCTTTGCATCAAACGGTTGGTGGGAGGGGGAGGGGGGCGAGCTACTCGTCGTTTGGATGAAATAAAAGAGCGCTTATCCTCCGCTCAAAGGACCGGCGGGGGTGAAATTGTTTTTCTCGGCGGATTTCCACGAGCATTAAACCGTCGTGTGGACTGTCGGTACGTGGTTTAATTAAAAATAACTCGAGATCATCGTGTCCGGGCTACCACGTCTATTCAGCCCCTCGTACGTATGTCGTGGAGATAAGCTGATCCGTCGTCGTTGCGCGTTAAAATACCGTGACACGTGCACTATGTATGGCATTGCGACGCGTAGCGAAGAAAATTAAACATTAGAGCGCGGGAGGAGAGAACAACGTTAGAAAAGAAACGAGGCGAACGAAGCGAAGAAGGAAATCCATTTTTGCGTTCAGCAGCAAAAAAACGGGGGGGGGGGGAGTGGAAGAGCGGAGCTTTGACTCCACTGCTGATCGCTGAAAAAGGGAGTAAAAACAGCATCGCTTGTATACCTGTAGCTCGTGATTATCTGCAGATTTTGTCGAAAACCGAATTTTCCTTCCCGTACAATCCGCACTACACGACATCTCTGCTTTGCAAGTAAGTATAATACCTTGGTGCGCATTTAATACTTTGAGGAGATGCAGCGCCTCTGGCCGCGCGGCGGATCGCTCCCGAGGAATGCAAGCCTCTCTCTTTACCAACACGCGCGCGAGGAGAGACGTTCCATGGACCCAAGCCCATCGAGTCTGCCTCTCTTTTTCCTTCTCCGCGAGAGCATCTTCTTACCCGCGCTGCTGCTTTTATTTGCCCCTTCGTGTTTTATAGATCAGCTCCGGACATCCATCACCCTTATATATATACGTTTATCGGCACGCGATCGTAATGAGCGTTTATCGATCGGTACGGCACAACGATGCTAATTTGAAGCGGAAAGATAACGGAAAAGTGACGTCGATTCATCATTTGTACCAATAGCGTATGCGCGAGTATACAAAACTGGATGAGCACCTGCAAATAGGTCCGGGTGATTTAAAACGCGAAAGTCGCCAAAGTATATTACATTCATGTACATGTATTAACATAAACCAGTTTTTCGCACAACGCCCATACCATCGGCTCGTCGTCCCGTGCGTGTACATCCTGTAACTCGTAAAATAAAATCCTCGACTCGAGGCTCGCGAGTCACTTCCTCCGGAGCTGTCCCTCTTTATCTCTTTTATACACATATGTATATACAATATACCTGCTCTTTGTCCTCTCGGTCGACGTCTTCGCGTAGTGTATATATTATATATACTTGGAGCCTCGATGAGACTTCCATTTCACGCTTTACGAGTCAGCGCGGATTAAGAGGCCAGAGAGAGGCAGCACCTATATACACAAGATGGGGGGGAGGCGAAAGAGCTGCACTTAGGGATCGTCGGCCGATCTGACTTTGAAATTTTTTTCATATCGCGCTCGGCTTGAGCTCCGAGGCCACCTCGGCTCCTCTTCTCCGTCTGTATAATACACTTTTACTTAACCGCGAGAACGAAAGGGCGGTCGCTAATTCCTTGATGTACTCCCGGGGGAGCTATGGGCCCCGGGACCAAGTTATGATTGAATCGAGGAAAATCGCCGAGGTCGCGATGCTCCGCCCGAAGAGACAGGGAAGAAGGTGCTTTAAACTTGGACTCTTTTTTTCTTTCATTTCCCCCCCCTCGACCCCTTCGGAACTCTACCGTCTGTTTCTTCTCCGTATAGATATGAAAGGTAAACGTTGGGAGAGTCGTGGGTCAGTGTATTACGTGCTGGACGCGAGGATACTCGAGCGAATTCCGGGCACCCATATCCTGCGAAACCTCAAGCGCTGCTCGGAGAGTCCGAAACGGTTCATTACACCGCGCTATGATACTTACAAAGGGCTGTGGATGGCGTCGCGTAATTTCCAGCCAAGAGGAGTACATTGCAAAATGTATCGCAGGTATATAATATGTGTATGTATGTATACTTACGCGTTGGAGTCCATCTCGTAGTCTTTGGCTTTGGTGGTGCGCTTGCGGCAACGGCAGAACAGGAAGAACAGCGCCCCGAAGAGGACGGACACCGAGCCGCTCACCAGGAAGGCTATCGTCGTCGGGCTGGCGAACGCACCGGCTTGAGCTACGTACGAAGGACCGACTACAAAATTCGGTTGTTAGCTCCATGTGCCTACCGGTTTTCCCCCTTTTTTTTCTCACAGCTTCGAGGCTCGGGAAAATGGAAAGTGCACGACCGGCTGGTGAATTACCGTTACCACGACGCAATCGCGGCGCTTTCGAGGTATACGAATGAAATATTGCTGCGAGGGGCAAAGAAAACGTGACCCAACCGCACGCGCATCTTCGAACCCCACCGCGTCACCAAATTCTTTCCATTTTCTCCTCACAACCGCTGTACTTCGGGACCCACAAGTTGAAGAGCAGAGAGAAAAAAAAAAAAAAAAAAGCATCCACTCACTCTCAGCCTCGGTGTACTCGCCGCACCGCTGCCTGTCGGCCTTCAGACACAGCCTGACGCGTATCCTCGGATCGGCGCTGGTCGCCGCTGGATCCCTGAGCCTGTCCTCGCGCAGAGTCGGCCCACTACCGCGTACCTCGAGGCCCCAGTCGTCGACGATGCGCCAAGTGTTGTCCGACCCAGAGTCCGATTTTTCGATCGAGGCCACGAGCCCGAGGCAAGTCGCGTCCACGTTCACGGCCAGCATGCCGCTCTCCGGGTCGAAGCTCACGCGCTGGGGCGACGGGATCCTGGCCACCGCCGTTGTCGCCATCACCTCGTCCGAGTAGTCCGAGTGGTTGTTCGTGTTGTACACTTTCACCTGACCGAGGAAAACAAAAAAAAAAAAAAAAAGACATGTAGTTTTGCGCACATATAGCGGTACCAAAAGCAAAAGCACCCGAGGAGGTCCGTTTGAGTGGACTTACCTTGAAAGTGTAGGTCTGGTGCTGCTCGAGGTCGGAGACGTTGCAGGGGTTGGACCTGCGACAGTCGATCTCCGACCACTGGCCGGCCGGTCCGCGGGGCGGGGCGCAGCCGGCTGCTACGACCTCGTCACCGCTGGCCACCCGCCTGTAGGAGACAAAGTACTTGGTGATGGGTAGACCGCCGTCGAAGCCGAGGTCCCAAACGAGGGCCACGTGGGTCGGCCCGACGTCCATGGGCCTGACGTTGTTGGGCCGCTCGGGGGCGCCCTTTGGCTGCAACTTTATCGACGAGACGATACTCCCGTGGATGTTGATAGCGCGACAACTGTAGTCCCCGTAATCCGTCTCGCGGATGTTGGTTATCTTGAGGACGGAGGTGTAAAGGTCGTAATCGTTGTTGCTGGTGGTCGATATCTCGTAGTGGCCGTCGCTCGAGGAGCCCTGCAGAGGCGCCAGGTTGGTCCCGAAGCTCCACTGGAACTCGGGCTTGGGCCATGCTTGGACCTTGCACGTCACGTTGGCGGTCTCGTGGAGGTTGTTGGCCACCTTGTCGTAGAGGTTCAGGTTGATGGGCGAGTGCTCGACTTTGAGCATCATCTGCGACTCGACGGCGTTCTTCACCTCGTTGTCGAAGACGCAGGTGTACTTGCCCCGGTCGTTGGCCACTATCTTGTCGGTCTCGGGCCGAGCGTTGCCCAGAAAACTCAGGGTCGAGTTGACCGTGACGACGCGCCCGTGGCCTTCCAGGGGAGTCGTCGTCACCTTGTACAAACTCTGATCGCTCGTCAGCTCGGTGTCGTCCTTGAGCCAGCGAACCGAGGGCCGGGGCTTGCCCTGAGCTACGCACGACACTTGGAACGAGGACTCACCAACCCTGCAAAGAACGGAGTTTTTTTTTTTTTTCCTTCTCTTACTTCAATCCACAGGAAATCGCTACTCAATCACAGAGCAATTTAAACCCAACGCAGAGTTTATCTCTCCTGCTTCTTCTCCTCCTCTTTTTTTTTTTTTTTTTTCACGAGGTACTTATAATTACGGACAATTCGTACAATTGATGGCCCTCTCGTTCTCCATGTTAAGCTTTCCCACCACCATCGCGTTTATTTACAATAACACCGCAGGTACACCCACACAATATGCGTATACAGAAGCAAGAGAGGGAAGATTCAATTCGAAAAGGTTTAACTAGCAACGTGCAGATTCCCTTGGGGACCTCGAAAACAACTACGCGCTGGAGGGAAAGAAAAGACACCCATATTACACAATAGGATATATACATAATACGTATGCACGGGTGTGCCGCAACGTGTCATTAAAATGCATAACCGAATTGCACTTGTTGGCCCAAGAAAGTTAGATCACGGATGCTCCCAGGGGAGACACGAAGGCTAATAAGCGTTTCTCTCTCTCTCTGTATGTTCCATTGTCTCACGGTTGTTAGATATCATTAGACCGCGCTGGAGGTGCACTCATCGTCGTTTTGGGATGCAACGAGAGAAGGAGGATCAGGAGGAGGAGAGCTAAATGGCTCTTGATTGGAGTGCGTTGTTAATTTGTAATGCACGTAGACGTAAACGATGAGATAAATTGTTTGAGAGAGGGAGAAAAGAAAAGAGCTTACTTTCTGGTGAGGTGGGGCTGGAGCTTGGTGAGTATGTTGGGTGGTTTGTGCACGGTGAGGTTGACGGAGGCGGACTCCCCGTTGCCGATCTCGTTGAAGGCGTGGCACTTGTAGGTGCCCTCGTCCGCCAGATGGACCGAGTTGATCTCGTACTTGGAGCCGGAGAGCTCGCTGGGCTTGATGCCGGCGTCGACCTGGTGGGACCAGCGGAACTGGGGCTCCGGGTATCCGGGCGGGTTGGCGACGCACGTCAGGATGACCTTGTTACCCTCGGTGGCGATCGGCGAGTCCGGGGTTATACGAGCCGGGCCGGGCTTGTGACGGACCCGAAGCTCGACGCGCGCGCTCGCCGAATAATTCTTACGCTCACCACCGGACGGGTGGATCGTGTTGGTCGCCCGACACGTGTAGTTGCCCACGTGCTCGGCCGTCACCCGGTTCATGCGCAATATCGGCCCATCGATGCGGAACTCGGGTCGACCTGTCAAAAATTTCATTATTGAAACCCCTTAATCGATTGTCGTGCATATTGTTTGGCACTTGGCCAATCTCACTTTTATGGAGTATATGAAAAAAAAAAAAAAATAAAATAAAATAAAAAAAAAAAGTAAGCAGGAGGGATGAGGATATTTACCTTCGCGCAGCCACTCGATGGTCGTGGGCGGCGGGTTCGAGGAGACGTTGCAGTGGGCGGTGAAGGGATCCTCGACCTCGGCGGTTCTCACGCGCTCGCCCTCTATGGACACGGTGGGGGCGTACTGGACGTCGAGGAAGAGGAAACTCTCGCCCTTCTTGCTCAGCCCGTTGTCTGCCTGGCAGGTGTACTTGCCCGCGTCCTGCAGCGTGACCGTCTGTATCTCGTGGTTAAAGGTCATGGCGACGAACCGCTCGTCCTTGATCCACTTGACCTTGCCGACCTCGGGCTTGGAGTCGACGTTGCACTTGAGGACCGCCTGCGAGTTGAGCTCGACCCTCAGTGGGTTCTCCGAGCCGATGGACACTCTAGGGGAGTAGCTCACGTCGAGGGTCAGCCTGTCCGAGAGGGTCTCCCCGGCTTTCATGGCCCGGTTGCGCACGACGCAGCGCAAGGTCTGCCGGTCGTCGTCCTTGGTCGGGGTGAACTCGTAGGTCTTGCCCGTGTGGATGACTGAGTTGGAGTTGCCGCGGTACCACTTGACCTCGGGCTCGGGGCTGCCGCCTTGGGTGTTGCACTGGAGCTTCATGCGCTCGCCCTCCTTGGCGCTGGGCGAGTCCGAGGATATGTAAGGCGGACTCGGGGCGCGCAGGACCGTCAGCGTCACGTTCTTGTGGTAGATGTTCTCCCCGGTGCCGCTCACCTTCACCCTGCACTCGTACTTGCCGTTGTCCCGCTCGTACGACACGTTGCGGATCTCGAGGTCGTACCTGCCCTCCTCGGGTTTCATGTACACGGTGTAGTAGGGCGCCAGGGGCGTTTGCTCGACCGCGGCGCTGTCGTGCCGGTCGTTCGTGTGGGTCAGCCAGTAGTAGGTCGCGTTGACCCGTGGGGCGCCGAATCGGCATTGCAGCTTGACCGTCGAGCCCTCGTGGGTGTCTATCTGCGTTTCTTCGACCCCGACTCCCAGAGCTTGGCTCACTCCTGAAACATTCGAGGCAAAGGTACTCGTTACACCAAAGTCCATACGCAGTGCGGTTTTGTTTATTCGTTTATTCGATTCAATCAGGATCATGAGTATTATTGGTTGTCAAAATGATCTTGGGTAGTGTTTTGGGCACAATTTCATTGGCGAGTTTCAAAGACCCATTCCATGGCATTTTAATTTTAAATTTAAAAAAAAAGTAACAAATTCCAATGTGAAATTCAATGTAGATCTACGTCACAGGAAAATAAATTCCAAACGCTCCGCTTGTATCGCCTAGAGCTCCAGTTTACGCTCTACCTCAGCAGCTGTATATAAATATGTATACCGTATACAAAACGATATTACGCACGGCAGCGAAATAACGTTTGCTGGTACTTTAATGATCGACAAGTGAAAAGAGCCTTGTAGCACAGTTGCGCAAGTATTGTTACGAGGCAAAAGGACTGTGACGTCTTTTCCGTCCTCGTTTTCTATCTCTCCTTTCTTTTTTTGTTTGCAAAAACCCTTTATCGAAGGAGCATTGTCGGTTATACCTATATAATCCTCCGTCTCGTAGGAAACGGAACTGCCTGTGCATATATATATATTTTCCAACTCTGGCCTTTTCTCGTCGGTCAAAAAACTAATCGGACAAAGCTACGCTTATTTTTGTACGTACCAGCGGCAAAGTACGGGTGTCTACGACTGATAAGCCCTCATTTGCCTCAATGACAGAGAAAAACAGTATACTTTGTCCGGGCGCAAAGAAAAATGGAGAGAACTTTCATACAGGGTTCCGGTGGATGTTTGTCTTGCGAACTGGTCGAGTTTTATGTACATATAGGATCGCGCCTTCGAAGAATGTTTGGAAGGGCGCCAGACGATTTAGTTTTTTTCCCTCGTACCAACGGGTGTCGGCTGGTTGTTTTTTTTTATTTCGCTCCGTTCACGCGAAAGGTTTAAAAATGATTGTGACAAATACCCACTGTTTAACGAGCTATGTGGTTTAATCATCGTTTTTTTTTTTTCCTCGTAAAAGGGTGCATGTAAATGTGTTTGATGAATTTTATTACGACTCGCGTAGCAAAACGACGTTTATTAAGCTTGACTGATTCCCTCGACTAAGGAAATTCGTTACGGAAGCACCATGGAGATTATAACGAGAATTTGCTCTCTTATAGCGATGAGTATAGAGGAATAAAATTAAAAAAAAAAAAGGTAAGATTCTCGCAATTTTAGCTACTCCCTTTGACGACGACGGTCAATACACTTTTTTTCCTCAAAGCTAATGCGCGTCTCGAAGCAATCAAACACACCCATGCACACACAGAGCAAAGCTCTATAATGAACATTTTTGAAGGTAAAAGGTAAAATTTTCTTATTAAACGAGCCGTAATTTCTTTCTGTCGAATAATTCACGCAGCCTGTCTAGCTCGGCTAGCTCCTATTAATAATCGCTAATTGAATTCTCGAAGGATTTTTAATTTTTCCCCGTTTTTCCCTGCATTTTTCCACATCACCAATTCAATAGCTTTTCACCCGATAACCTTTGTTACAAACACTTGTTATTCGGACGGGGAAAAGAAAAGCCGCATTGTAATGTAAACAATAAGTGGACAGAAAAATTGGAACACAAGCGAAGAAGGGATATACAATGGAAAACAACACCCGCAACCTACAAAATATTCCCTTTGGCGATTCTCGACAAACGCGAATAAAATCGCGACCCACATGCTCACACGTGCATCTTCGCCTCCAAAACCTGCATAATTCAAATTTCGCGTCCTCATACCACCGGACTCGGTGCAAAACTCGACCAAAAATACTTTAGCTGCCAATGCAAAATCCTTCAACTCTGGCTTCTCTCTTTTTTTTTTTTTTTTTTTTTTTTTTACAGTATTCACCGATTATTAATCGAGTGGGCGCATCTGCCGACGGTGCACGCATCGAAAACCGTTTTCCCCACTACATGCATGTATATGCCAGTTACAGGCGATAACAATACACATCGGATGGGCAGCTTCTTCTCTTTCTGGCACGGGGAACTGTTATGTTCGCCGAGAAGTTCAACGGGACGCGAGTGCACGCGTACGCACGGGTACATGTAAGCCCCTACATTAAAGCCACTCGCACACACACGTTGCTGAGAACGTGTAACGCCGCGATGGAGACGCGAGAGAAAAAAATCACATCGCGTACATGTACCCGCGACAACTGACGCCGGAGGGAGAAGGGGAGTGCGTGAGTACCGTTGCGTCGTACCTTTCTCGTATACGCAGCAAGACACACTCGTCTTCTTAATAACCCGCCCAACGGGACTCTATACCGATTTTATCTTTGCCTGTCGTCCGGATGGATATTGGGGGCTTTTTTATGCGTGTCCAATAATGTTGTTTTTTTTTTTCTTTCTTTTTTGTTTTATCGAGTGAGCATAAAAGACAGATCTTACGTGACGGCCAGTTGACGTTTATTCGTGTGGTTGTTGTCGGGACGACGAGATTCCATAGAGATTTTGTTTGCGACGTCTCTCGGTTTATTCGTAAGATTTAATTGTAGGTAAAAGTGTTACGGAAACAGAGAGTTGGAAAGTATATTTTTGCGGAGGGGTAATCAGCTGATTAATTCGAGTCACAGTCATTTAATACACTTCCAACTCGCGTTATTAACATCATGTGGGTATGATATAGTATACGCGTGTGCCTCGTTCTATGATGGATCAAACGAGTCGATTCATTAGCCGATCTTCATTGGGCATAATTATACGTACGGTGGCAAACCCAAGCAGGCAAAGGCAATAAAAGTGCACGCAACAACCAAGTTTCGTTATCTGCTTCGTGGATCACTGCCATTATCGTTAATTACACGCGGTATCATAATGCCATGGGACTCGATCGAATCACCGACGTATCCGAGAGCTCTGTTTCGAAACAAACGACAATGTTGTAATGAAATTCTGGGTAAAAATGTGCTCGACACGCAACCTTTTGTGATTTATCTTGGGGTCTCGATGATAAACAAAAAAAAACAAAAAAAGGAAAAGAAGAAAAAAAAACAAATTTCATCGCGGCACGTATACCCGTGTAAGTACGACGATCGAAAGAGACACTCGCTCGGTTATTGGAGCGTGTACGCGCGCCTACGACAATCACGGGCCAACTCGATTTACTCCGAGGACCGAGCAAAAACGTATAAATGCAGATCAGTTCAATCATAAGAGCATTGAATACGGTACATTATATAAAAATGAAGAGAAAAAAAAAATTGATGTCAAACAATGCTTCTTATTCTGCCACTTATAGCTCGGAGCCGTACACCTATACTGATCTGTATAGGAGAAAAGTAATAAATGGTTTGGTGGTACGCTTTTTCCTAACACCGAGAAACGACGTGTACACAAAAGTATAAGGCATAAGCGCAAACCGCGAGGAGAAAGGGACATAACAAGACGGAGACCCGCGTCTCGAATGTGCCGAGTGTCTCTCTCTCTCTCTCTCTCCTCGTAACTCGCGGCTGAATGTGGGTCGACCGATGGGTCGCATAACGGTAAGTCGACGTGTTGCCAATCGCCTTTCTCTTTTTCTCTCTCTCTCTCTCTGTGCCAGTCGACTTGTATGCACGTTCAATAGAGTACGTATATTTATATTCCAATACACGTGAACGCATACGTTTTAAGGACAAATAATTTTCATACCGGTAAATTGGCATGGAATTTCATACGATTGTCGAGAGGGAACAAAAATCGCAATACGTGGTCGATGGCCCATCTTCGAGGATGACCTCCCAAGTTCTCCAATTGCTCGGTAAAAGTTTATGAATGGACCCCCGTACACGTGTGATCGGGGGTATTTTCGAGCAACTTTCTAGAGTGAAAGGGCAACTTTCAGCGCAACGCGCGGAAGCAGTGATACTCTACTTTTTGGCTTGCGATGGCGTGTATATATGCCGATAATAACCGGGTTCTCGTGTGATAATAGTTGTTTTTGCCTGTCGTTGGTCATACCGATTGCTCTGGCGATGGCGTACACCGAGACAGATTTCTATCAAAGTATCGACAACCGAGTGGTTTGCCGTTCTCCTCCCAAATTACACGGGATCGAAAAGAAAGTCGACACCGGACGTACACTTTCCTCTCAACATCGGTATATACATATACATCATCATCGCGCCAAAGTGGCCGCGAAATGTCTCGCCACTTTTCGAATGCTAGTTCCCACTTTGCCCGCCCACTTTCACCCCACCGGGATTATTTTTGTCGCCCCGCGTTTTCTCCAACCTAGCAGGTGAATTTCAGCGGCTCGACGAATCGCAAACGGGTTTGATTTGTTTTCAACCGCGGCATATGTTATTAGGCGTTTGAAAATAGAGCGCCTGCGTGGGTATGCAAGATCGGCGCACCGCGTGCGGTTTTCAAAAGCGATCGAGTGCCCTCGGGCCGGGTCGCGGCTAATTATTTCCCCGCGGAATCGAAGCCGATGGGATTGTTCAAGCAACGCTCTCATCGCGAGCGGGGAAAAAATAGGCGATAGTGAGTATACACGGAGAAGAGAGCGAAAGGAAAATTACGTAGACACGTACACACATGCAGGTGTGCACGTTGAAAGTATCGCGATCCGCTTGGCTTGGCGCGAGTGACACGATTTCGCGGCTTGACTTCTTTTATTTCGCTACTCGAGCGTGTGTTCCACACATACACGTGTATAGACGCATACAGAGGCGCGCCTTGCATTTTCAGTCAAATGTGCTCTTTGCGAGTCGCTGATGCGCTTCAGGGACGAATATACAGCATACGCGGAGCAGATAATCGGTTTACGCGACGCTGTGGGCGCGACGATTTATTGAATTTCACGAGCAAACTCGCACGGCTGTCTATGTATGTATAATTTTGCGCGTTTGAGCATTTTTGCGTATACACAGAGGAGGGAGAATGTTGTTTCGGGCCCTTTTGCGTGAGATCGGCTTGCCGGTAATTTTCGCCGGCACATCATCGGAGGGGGATAAATACCGAGGTAAATACCAA